GCAACTGAACTGGCACTAGCTGTTTCGCATGCCTACAGAGGGCTGACCCTCCTTAGCCGAAGCCGTTTTTTCCCAGCTATATTTATAGCATCCTTTCCTCTCTACTCAAGTATATGACAAAATAACCTTCCTCAGTAAGGCTTCAATTGATGACAGTTTAGACTTTAACTGGGAACTTGTCTTTGCTGATTACTGAGCTTGACTTCTAAATGGATCCCAGGCCTGTAAAGACATGTACAGGAGGTGAGATTGGACTGGAGATTCAGCTCTACAACATTCACAGATTCCTTCAGTTTAGCCACTCACAGCTTCTGTTTCCGGACACCTAACTATTTTCCGTAGCCTTCGTCTCACATCTTAGTCCAGTGCTGATAAAATAGAATGATGCAAGGGGACAATTGCACAAGGAACATACAGCATAGAAGCAAGGCATATACAGTTCTTTTTTCTAGGGCCATGCTGAACCCTCATGCATGTATTAAACTTACACAATGACACTGGCAATAAGTATTTAAATCTAATTCTCATAGCTAATCTCATATCTGTAAAAACAATGGTATAGGTAGGTGCACCTGTCCTGGAGCAAGGATTTCTGAATGGTCCTTCTCTGATACCTGTATGTTATCCTCCTTTATCTGCTTCTCAGGACAGCCTCAGAAGAAAAATGACTGGTCTCTTCAGTTCTAGACAAAAGCAAAAAAAATGTTAATGTTTGGTTACAGTTGCTACAATAAATACTATAACCCATATTTTAATAAATAACAGGAATATGCCATTAAAAACAAACCAAAACAATCCTTCAATAGTATGGACAAGTGAAAGGTCATTTATATGTCTGTTCTACCACCTTTGCAGTACAGATGTTTGTTTAAAAACAATATTAATATGTGAGATTTCACCTGGTACAGTCCAATAACAACCTTAACTCTGACCCACAAGACATACTTACAAACTTTTTCTACATATGCACCTCTAATATACTGTATGTATATCTGTTATGTGAAGCTATATTCAGGGAAGCTCCTCTGCTACCAAACTCAAAATTCCCCATCTCCATTTCTAGTAAGTGCGCAGGAAGGGCTGATGAGGATGTTAACTATTATGTAACTTAGGGGGGTCTACAGTTGTAAGGCTCTCATACCTCACACCTGAGTCAGAGCCAAAACCCATTGAGTACAAAGAACTGATTCCCACTGACTTCAGTGAGTGTTGAATCAGGCCCCTCAGGGGTTAGAGTGATTGCAGAGTTCCTGGCCTGTGAACCTTTACAGATCCAAGGCAGTTGGCTTTCCCTCATGCATACCTTAGGAGGTGCATTGGGAGCTGCTGCAGCCCTCGCCTTCAGTGTGGGACATACAGAACTCTGTCTTCAAACGCATTCCGTGATGTCCAGTAGTTGAATGCAAGGTGCTTCACTGAAGCTGTGCCAGCATTTTTCACTGTGTGTGTGTTTCTTTTCTACTCCAACTTCTTGTATTGAAGCATTCTTTCTCCATATTCTTTTCTCTATTAGGTTTAACGATGGATACTCCTGCATCATTTTTATAATGTTAATTATGAGTATATTTTTTTCTTGAAATCTGTCCTGAACTATTTTCCCAATTAATGATGAAGTTCACTGGGAATCCATTCACCAGATAACAGGGTTAGACACTTAACAAATATTTTCAAAAGAAGGCATTTTTCATTGTTGTTTTTCTGAAAAACTATTTGCTCAATTGCCTTGATATCATTCAAAACAATGACTATTGTTACTGAGTGTTAGCCTTAATATTTTGAAAGCATGACTTTTAGTTTGAAAGTGAGTAATCATAATCTGCTTTACAATAGAAATCTAATTGCAACCTGTTTGCAAACACTTGCATATAGCGATATATATCTATATATATCTATAGATATATATAGATATATCAGAAGAATAAAAAAAACATGCATAAGAAACCACAGTAGCTGCATCCTCCCTTCCATTCTTCCCTCATCCTACCTTCCCCATTTCATTGCTTTGACTCCGTGTATCATGTCTACATTTGGACCTGGGTCTTACACACACCTGCATCTGGGACAAATTGTGTTCCTGAGTAGTGTCATTGATTTGGTTCAGAAATGAAGTCAGTGGGAGTACTCACATGAGTAAAGTTGTGCACATGCATAAGTGTTTGCAGGATCAGAGCTTGAGATGTAAATTCTTCAGGGCAGAGGCCATACATACTTTACCTATGAAACACCAAGCCCACTTTGGGTACTGTATATATAAAACAATGAGGAGTTTGGCTGAGTACTGAATACATTATTCTTTTTTACATCGATTGACCTATGCAATGAAAATTTTGCACTGTTTGTCAGATCATTTATTCAATGAATAACAGTTACATTTGTTAACAAATATTTTAAAGTACTGTACTAGCTGTAATAATAACCCTAATTATGTACAAAGATATTATTATTCTTTCTATTGTAGGGTCCCACCTAGGACGTGGTCAAGCTGCCACTGATATCAAGGGCATAGACCCCATTGACTTCAATTGTGCAGAACTAAGCCCCTAATTTCATGTATTTTTCAAAAGAGCATGAGTAGTCTAGTACTGGAAACCATATTTTCACTGATGACTTTTGAGCATGCTCAGGATCACTGAGGGCTTGTCTATACTTACCGCGCTGGTTCGGCGGCAGGCAATCAAACTTCTGGGTTCGATTTATCGTGTCTTGTCTGGACGCGATAAATTGAAGCCAGAAGTGCTCGCCGTCGACTCCGGTAATCCTGCTCGGCGCAAGGAGTACGCGGAGTCGACGGGGGAGCCTGCCTGCCGCGTCTGGACCGCGGTAAGTTCCAACTAAGGTACGTCAACTTCAGCTACATTATTCACGTAGCTGAAGTTGCGTACCTTAGTTCGAATTGGGGGGTTAGTGTAGACCAGGCCTAAGTGTAGTAACAGCAGCAACATACCTAAATGTGATATGCTCAGCTACCCCAATAATAGGCACACTATGCAAATCAGATTAGAGTAGTTCTGAGAACAAGGAGAACATTGTGGTTGTCCAGCGCAGGTGGGTCATACAAACACCTGTCTGGACAAACAAACACCAGTTTTGTAGATGTAAATTAAGGCCTTGGTTCTGCAAAGAGAACCACATGGGCAGATACTGAAGTCTTTGCAGGATCAGGACCTAAGAAGCTGTTTTTCGGGTGGGGAAATGTCCTTCAGTGCTGTTTTGGGGATTTAGACAAATATCTTCCAAGTTCTAGAATGTTTGAAAAATCTGACTGTTATTTTATATTGTTATTGTTTATTTTATGAATTACACATTTCTCAGGCCACATCATAACAGCATATATTCTATTACATTATTGTAACAGTATAATAGGGCATGAGGGGTTTGGTGGTGGTTGTTTCTAAATATTTCATTTCACCCTTAAAAGTGCTAAAGAATGGACTATTCATCGAAACCTTAGTCTTCATCCCAAAACTGGGAAAACAAACCAGTTTATAGTATATTTCATTCTCCTAAACTTCTCCATTCTATACTCTAGAAATGTGTCCAGCTTCTGCTAAATTGATTTCCTCTACTTGTGTTTATTGCTGCCTTTGCAGGTTGCTGCATATTTCATCCAGCTGTTGGAATGAGTTTCCCTCTGATTCTATTGTTAGGGTTTGCTGTGAAAAGAACTGCTAATAAAATTTAAAAGTCTTTGATAGCTAAATGCCATCTTGCTCTGTCTTTTAAATGTTTGCTTACATTTCAACAAGGACAGCACAATTATAGCATATGAAGCGGATATCCTGCAGTGCTAGTATTCTAGACCTATGGGTGTTAAGATTACGGAAGAGTGTCAAATATAATCTCTTATCTCCCTCTTCCTTTTCCACTACTCCCTCTCTACTTCTCTCTCCCTGTCTCTGCCCGCCATTAAATAAGATACGTCTCACCCAGTTAAATGGTTTAACAATAGGTAGAGGGAAAAAATCTTAACCCTAATTCAGGAAAGTTCTTAAGCAAGTGCATACTTTAAGCTTGTGAGTTGTCCCATTGACTTTAGTGGGGGCTACTCATGTATTTAAAGTTAGGCATATGCTTAAGTACCTTGCTGAATTGGTGCTCTAGTTATCAAGTTCTCTTCCTCAAGATTTAGTCAAGACGGCTAGAGTGCTGTGTGTACAACAAAAATAAAAATAGTTCCACAAAATAAACAGCTAAACTCCTCAGTTTGGGAATCAAACCAATTCTGTTGTTTGCTGCTGCTACTGTTATTACGATAATGCCCAGAAGACCCAATCAGGTTTGAGGCCCTGTTTTGCTAAGTGGTATACAAACACAAAGGTGCAAGCCTATCCCCAAAGACTTTCTGTCTCCCAAGACACCTATTCTTACAATCCTTCATCTGCGCAAGAGGAGGGGTAAACTAAGAGGGACGTAATCCTTTGTTCAAAGAGGACCATGTAGTGCCCCTGAAACAGTGTCACAGAAAGATTTATTCCCCCACAAATATTTAAGTAATAGGATTATTTGTAAAATGAGATTTTTCCAATGTACTTTCTATGGTTGGAAATTACTGAGCTCCAGGAAGCTAATTAAATTAGCTGATACCACAGTTCTTTATCTAAATTGATTGAAGCAGTGTTACCATAAGTTAAACTAAAGAAGAGGAGACAAAACACACTCCTAGAAGCTTAAAGGAAAATATAATCATTACATTATTCTGGAAATTGTATGTGCAGCTATTTCTATTAAGCAATCTGTAATTCATCTGCTATTTGTTCACAATGAATCTCATTTTATAATTAATGCAAACTAGTTTATAAGTTTACATGCAAACACATTGGTTTCATTATCTGTGGAAGCAGTTTAGGATGCACATGGAGGCTTTCTGGTATCACTGCCATATCATAAGGCAAAATAAAAGAAAAAAAAAACCTTTCTAAATGTAATACACACTGGGTGAGTTTGATATCCACACCTGGATAATGCTGTTAATAATATGTTTATGATTTTGTGTTTTCTAGAAGAGGCACTGGTGCCATATAGTAAGCCCAGTTTCCCATCCCCAGGTGGTCACAGCTCTTCAGGAACAGCTTCTTCTAAAGGATCGACTGGACCCAGAAAAGGCGAAGCCTTGCGAGGAGGTCACCAACGGAATGCTAGTGACCTTCTTGATGTAGGATATATGGGATCAAATAATCCAGGACAGTTTACTGGTGAATTATGTAAGTGTCTTTCTTGCTGCAATTCAAATGTAAAAAAAAAATAAAAGAACAAATTTATAATAAAATTTTCACTGACGCAAGATTGGACTCCAGAGAGTGAGAAGCTCAGTTTGTCAGTCAGCTATGATTCTGACCCAGATCTCTGTCATCTCTGAGAGGTCACTTCCTTGTGAAAAAAGCGAATAATTGAAATGTATCTTTCTGTGCCTTTAGATTTATCTTAGACTTCACCCTACAACATGATTTTTAATCTGTGTTAGTACTGTGACTCGGGTCATCTATTTAACACATCCTTGAATCTGTGATGCTAGTGTAAAGGGAAACACATCAGGTCAGCTGGTTAGAATTACTCGTTATCCTTTAGAATTTTTTAGCCAAATTCAAGTTACTTGACCTGAAAGTGGCATTGGTGATGGTGTTACAGAAGTGCATTAAAAAGAGGCCTTTGTTGTATTCTTGGCTGGTTACAGCAGACAAACTTATCACTCCCCTTCTTTACCCCCTCTCTTTCCCATTCAGCTTTCTCTCTCTTCTCTGCCCCCTGATTCAGTCTCACTTTTGCTCATCCCAAAGAAAGTGGTGCCTCTCTTTTTCTCAAGTTTCCCAGCCCAGCAGAACTCCTTCCCAAATTTGTTACCACTATGTATGTCATACCTGGTACTATGCCATGTATATGTCAGCTAGATGACACTCACATGAGACCTCAAAGACTGTTAGGTCATAGGAGCTGACCTTTTAGTAACAGGGACAGCAAATACTGTGGTGTTCTGGGTGCCTGAGAAACACAGTGAGAACACACCTGGGCCTAGAAGTCTTGAAGGAGGTTCTGGAACTTTCTCACCACACCAGCAGCTCCTTTAGAGAAGGCTGATACCTGACCCCTGCTGATGTTTGTCAGTGCAAAGCAACATCAGTATTGAATTACCCAGTGCCAGAAGGCTCTCCTATACATAGGGTATCTCAGGCTAGGCCTCCATGTATGGTGGCATGTAGATTACATATATTGTACACCCTCCAGCACAGGTATAAATAACAGTGTAGACAGTAAGGCACTGCTTAGGCGAGTAGAATAAAGACACACCAAAACCTCAGGGTATGTATCCTACATGGCTTTATTCATGGCCAAGAAGTGCTTCCCCCAAACGACACTCCTGTTTTTAGCTGTGTAGTGTCCCTCTGCCTCCCCACTGCAGGAACTTTTCCCCACCACTGGGAAAGACTTTGGCAGTAGGGAAAGGCTGTGGAAACTCTCTGCTGCTGGAGTCTTTCGCCAAGGCCTTCCCCTTGCCAGAGCCTTTCACTGATGCATGTAGCTATACACCATAGCATGAATGCAGCCTGCTTTTCATAGCGGCATGTAGTTACACCTACGCTACATGCTGTTGCCAGTGTAGACAAGGCCTTAGGGTGAACCGTCATGCAACCAATGCAGGGAATGTGGCCAGAGGAAGAGGGATGTGGCTTGGACTTTGCTACTATTCTATGGGCTCCAGTTTCCATGATGGTGCCATAGCCAGCTAGGAGTACAACCCATCACAGAGTGACCCCAGGATCAGAGGAGTGCAAAGGTGCCTTTAAGACATCTTTGCATCTCTCTTTCTGAGCTCTGCCAAGCATGCCTCCATTGTGGATCTGATCCATAAAATTGGTATCTCACTCTGGTAAAGAATATGTTAATTTCCACATGCAGTGCAATTTAAAAGTGACACAATTAGAGAACACTTGAAGTACATAACTAAATAACCAGGTTTTACTTGATAGCCAATCTGAGCCCCAGGTTTGACTTCAGCACAGATGTTCCATTTGAAAAAGATATAGAGGTCATTTAAAAATATTAAGTATGTTGCTCTTCCCACTTATGTATTTCTTTCACTTCTGGTCACTGTTTCTCTCTCTAGTAAAAGCAATAAATAGGGTACTATTGCAGTACCTGCATAACAGATATTACCTGGACAGCAATTGCAGTGTGCTAACAGAATATTCTTTTCAGACCTATTCAAATAAATGTTTCTTGGATACAATCAACCCTGTAACTATTCCTAATCCTGCTTAACTGTACCTACACCAGATTCCTCCGGTAATATCTCAGCAGGACATAGGTTCACTACAAGGAGTCCCTTTGTCAGTGGAGCTCTGCAGACATTGTGTCTACCTATGTGGATCAGTCTGAAGAAGTAAGGCCTTAGTGTCTGGTCCAAAGCCTGGTATGTCAATGTATAGACTTTCACTGACTTCAGTGAGCTTTGGATCAAGCCCTAGGTTAGCATTTACACTAGTCTCATTAATCAGTTAGGTAAGGATTCCCTCCGTCCCATTCACACACACACACACATCCCAGTGGACTCTCAGCACAGGCACTTCACTCCATGAGGGACAGCAGAGAACCAGACCCTCTGTATTTACTTGCAGTTACCACACAGTAGTAAGGCAGAGACTGCAGTTGTCTCCTGACCTACATGCACACAGGAAGACATATTTGGTATCTTTACTACAACTGGTGGTAACTGTGAAATTTTTAAAGTCAACCACTTGCAATTTTAAAAGCAATTTTAAAAAAATCCAATACGTTTATGAGATGTGCTGTGGTAATGTGGCCAGAGGATTTGTTTTATTTAGTGCATTTTTTTCTCTTTTTCTTTCTATAGAGTAGTTGAGAAGAGACATCCCAAGCTGCTCTGAAGGACCATCAGGTCTGAACTCATGGAAGTGATGACACTAAACAGTGCAATGAACATTTTCTTTATTTATGTACTATTAAAAGAACTGTAAATGCAATGTAAAGACACACAGCCACACATATCCCACAGATACTTGTGTTCGTCTCTTTAATACACCATCCACCTTAAACTATTTCTTGTCAGGAGTATATAAAAAAGAAAGAAAAAAAAATCACCCTCCAGGATGAAAATGATTTCCCTCTGTATATAATTTCTTTTGTTGCATTGCTATGCAAGCTCACCTTCCTTTTAGCTATGTTCATATTATTGTCTGTTCTTATTGGTCTGTTGTACTATATGTGAATTAATAGGCTGTGGTGCCATATATTAACTTTTAATTGTGTAACTTTTATGTTTAAAGTTTGCACTGCAATTTTATTTGGTGATAAGCACAAAACTCTACTCCTTGTGACATGAAGAAGAAGAAGACTGAATGTGTGAAGAACGTTTTACGTGCTGTAAGCTGTGTTGGATAATGCTGGATGTAACGGAGTATGGTAAATGGTTTTCCATTGGGGTGTAGAAATAGGAAGATGACAGGCAAAACTGATGTTAGCAAAGATGGCAGGGACAGAATTAAATCTTTTAATAACAAGCAACATAGTTGCTCTTACTATTTAAAAAAAAAGGGGGGGTGTCAAAAGATGAAAATGTGAGTTTCAAGAGAGAATATGAAAAAAGAGACTACAGAGTTGAACTGTGACCTCTGAATAGAATGCTAAGCTTCTCAACTCTTAGGATCAGTTTTTACCTGCCCAATATAATTAAATAATGGAGGGCGAGGGAGTGGGGTAAAACTTGCTACAAACAAAAGAAATTAAGGTGTTTCACTAAAGCTGTTTTTATGTTACATTTTAAAAAGAATTACCATAATTAATCTCTCAAAGCCAGCATGTAATGCAGAAATCCCCCCAGGAAAAAGAAACAATATAAACTCTGGGATTACCTAGCAAATAGTTAAAGATGCAATTTATTATTGAGACATATTCAAGATGCTTCTGAAAAATGAAATATGTTGGAATATCTTAGTTCATCTTTCCAATACATGTACAGTAAAATAGAAGATAGAGCTGCACCACTGAAATTCATTTACATGAGTTGTTTTTATGCAGTCTAGAAACTTTTGTGTTTTATTAACTGAAGTCCTCAATAACTGAAGTTGATTCCACGGAATTTGTAGCAAAATTCTTAGTGTTTGAAAAAGAAAGCAATGGTAAAATTATGTTCAGTTTGCAGTAAATATTTTTCTTTCAATGCAATATGTTCTCAGAAATTGGATACAAACAAAAAAATCTTTGACCTACTTTTAACGTGTGAATTTAAACCCTACTATAATAACAAAGTAACGCATGTTTATACACTTTTTGAATAAACCAAACTCTGTAAGTGGACATTAATAACAGCATCCTGTCTCATCATTAGTTTTCATGACTTTCTCTAGATTTTCTGCACCTCCAAAATCCCTATGAGTAAATTTTTCAAACATTTGTTAGAATACTCTACATGTATTGTATACCACATTCATTCAATACTTAATTTAAATATTACATTCTACAGCTTTTTTTCTATTAATCACCTAATCATGAATGCAAGTTTGCATTTAAACACCCTTTAAGTATATCCTGTCTATGTTGTTAAGTGAAGTACACTTTTAGTGATGGCAAAGTCCTAGGACAAGTTAATTACACTGCTAAATATATGTGTTTCTTTTCATTTTAGTTAATTGTTCCATTATACAATAAAACACTACAGTTTTCAATTGTATTCAGAACTGTCAAATATCAAAAACTGGTATTTAAACTTTACTTAAGGTCAAATCTGTTATTTAGCTGGTTACAAGACAAAAACAAAATGTATGAATTTATTTATATATGTAACCAATGAATATATGTAATTTTCCTGCTGATTAAATGGATATAGTTAAAGCCATTGTCTATAAACGTACAGAAATATTCAACAAAGGTAAAAAGGGCATCCGATTTTTGCTGACTCTGATATGTGAAGATACAGATTCTTCAGCACACTTCTCAAATTTTGGTTCTCTGGAAACATTTCAATATGACTAGAGAGGATTTTGATTTGAACACTTGTGCTGAGCTTTGGTGGAACACCTTTCTCATTATGTTCTATTTTAAAATTGGAATAATGAGAAGTTGACAGAAGCCATCCCGATTACTTTCAGATATGTTTTATCTATTCCACTGGAAAGTAAATGTGTGTCAGTATTAAAGCTGTGCAGTATCATGATATTCACTACCTTGTCCATCTGCTTCTGTATGTTTTTTGTTCATTAATAATTTGCTTACAATATTACATAACAAGTTGTCCGTGTGTATCGCCAAGTCTCTCCGTTATCTTACAGGTGATCTTTTTTTTCTCTTTTCTATAAGTGTACTTCCAACAAACCACAATACATATTTTTTAAAATGCAGTTTAATTTACTATTTAAAAAAAATATTATTTCTGTTTTTTTAAACCGAAAACATTTATTGTGAATAATGTGCTTTTAAAAAGGGGATGTTGTGGTGGCACTTAGTTTTCCAATTTGTTTTTTTAATTTGTTTATTGGCTACATCTTGTTCATGAAAAAGTATGACCTCTTAATGTGTTTCATTGGTATTGTTAGTGCAGCAAAGTTTAATTGCCATAAGAAGTTGGTTAATAGTATTGTCGAGCTGTGTATTGTATATTTACTGGGGAAAAAAATAAAACGCATTCACATTTCAAATTTATGTTAAAATAATGTGAGTAAGGAGTCAATATGTGAAAAGAGTAAATAAACGTAAATAACCTAAAAAAACCCTAAATAAATCAATCCAATGGCTAGAAGTTGATGCTAGACAAATTCAAGACTGGAAATAATATGTAAAATTTTAACTGTGAGAGTAATCAGCCATTGGAACAATTTACCAAGGGCTATGGTGGATTCTCCTCCATCTCTGACAAATTTTAAATCACGATTGGATGTTTTTTAAAAGATATGTTCTAGGAATTATTTTGGGAAAGTTCTATGCCCTGAGTTATACAAGAGGTCAAATTAGATTATCACAACAGTCCCTTCTGACCTTGGAATCTATAAATCTATAAAATGGGAACAAACAGGGAATTATAACATATACTGAGCTATAATGTTCACTGTCTACTTACAGGTACCAAGTACTGCTGAACACTGCTATTAACTTTCTTAGGAACTCTGGGACAAATTTACCACCAGTGTCAGTGGCATGACATCATTGAAATCAACTCTGTTTAGGCTAGTGGTAAATATTGCTTATCATGGGGGACTTGTGTCTAAGATCTCATCTAGAGAGCGAATAGTTGTACAAATGTAACTTCACCAATTTAGCAATGTTGGTGCCACACTCCCCAGTGTAGATGTGCTGCATCAATGTAATACAAGGCTTGCAGCTGTATGGCTTACCCAGGATTGAAACTGTTTTACATTGATGCAGCACATCTACACTGGGGATTTGCACCCGTGTAGGTACATGGGTACAAATATCCCCAGTATAAACAGGCTATAAACCAGTTTTCCCTGATGTTTGCATAGAGTAAATAATAAGGAAAAGACAGTTGAAATAATAAAAAAAAATCTGTACTTGCTCTTCAGATACTGTTTGGGCAGCTACTTCAATGATACATACAGAAATACAAATGGCAACCTGAAACAGAATATTTATTAAACATTAACATTTAGGTCCTGATCCAAAGCCCATTCTATTGAATGAGCCTTTCCATTGATTCAAAGGTTATTAAACCAGGGCCAAAGTGCCCTGCTCTGCATCTTAAATACACCCCCAAATCATCATTAATTTCAATAGGGCTTTGAAGTGTTTAAAAAATGCAGGACCCAGGTTACAAATATCTCCCTGCGATCCTTAAATACAACATAAACAGTTTTTGTACATTCTTTGTGGTACACAAATGCTGGGGGGGGAGGAAAGAGAATTCTTTAAAAGAGCATGGATTGTTTTAATGTATTTATTAAACTATACTGAGAGCTAGAAAATTATGAATCAGTCCGAAATAACTCTAGCTTGTGTTTGCCTCCAACCTGTATGATGCCTGACAATGGAAAAGTTCAGCAGCAGCATTGAGGAAGAGTGCTGAGAATTGAAAAGCGGTGGGCAGAAACTGTTGTTTTTTTTTAAACTTCACATTAACTTTATTTTAAGCCATGTCCATTGTTTTTGTTCTTGTTTTTCAAATTAGTGGAGATTGAGCTGAGGAGTGAAGGCAAAAAAGAATGGGGTTTTTTTTAAGTTCTATTCTGTTCTGTAATAGACGTTTGAATTCACTTGCATGCTTTTGTCCACAAGTTAGACATATGTAGTTCTCATGGTCTTAAATAGCTGATTTTTTTATTAACTCATTCATCACATCTGGAACCCTTTAACTAAAAATAAGTTCTCTTTGAAAACCAAATGGGACATGGACATGGATTCATTCAGGATTTCTATTAAAACTTGGAAGAAGTGTAGCAAGCAATAAATAAAAATATAAAGGCTATCAGATTGATTGATATAGTTACATTAATCTTAAACTTCACTAAAATGGGATATGACAGGATAACACTGGAAAAATCCTTGAAGGGAGCACACACCCAGGAACGAGAGGGATTCCTGAGTGTAACGAATAGTTAAAATTTTGAGTAATGTGATGAAATCAGAAAACATAGTTTCATCAGGAAAATTCTTTTATTGCAATCTGTAATTCCTCTCCTTCCTGGGTGGTTACACCCTTCAAAGACTTTTCAAGTGTTTTCCTATCACGCCACCACACCCTTCCTTTATCCTTGCTCTTATAAGGGCTGCTTCCCCAAGGCAATGTTCAACAATGGAGGTGAGGGAAGGGGTCCACTGCCCCAGAAAGGTCTCTGGAAAGTATGATGTTTCCCATAGGGCACTGTTGCCTAGTGCAGAGGGTGATGTGGAGCTGTAACTCCACCTGCTCTCTGACCCATTTACTATGTCTAGCATTCCTCATATTTGTAGCCTCGCACAGTTATTTGTGTTTGACAGTGGACTATAAAGATCAAGGTGTCTTGTGATCTTCCCTCCCCTTTTGCACTCACAGAGGGCAGAGTTCAATGTACCTCATCGTTTTTAGCTCTTTATTCTTATGTCAGTTCTTCTAGCCTGAAGCTTTCTTGCTGCTCTTTTCTGGTTTGTTTTTGTTTTGTTTTGTTTTATTGTCAAAAGCTTCATAGTAGTGAGATGCCTGGAGTTGTAGACAATATTCCAGGTGTATAATGAGGCTGGTGCCAAAATACCTAGTGCAGCCGCAGAATGCCTCACACGCATGCTCTCTCTCTCTCTCTCTCTCTCCATGTTAACACCCTCCCCATCACATACCCACACTCAAAGCCATACAGGTTTAGAAATCTATGCCTACTCTTAGACTTAACCTCTGGGCAGAACCCCAGCTTTGCTCAGAACCCCCCTGTCAAAGTTACAGGGTGAGTTGTATTTGAGACCCCATTTACAGTTCCTCTCAAGGGCACCCTTCATGTGACAGGCTTCACTTCCTTCACTCAGAGGTGGAACTCTATGGAACACTCTTAGCCTGGCTTTCTGGGTCAGAGCACCTGTTCAAGGGTATCATTTGCTATAGGGCAGGGGGCGGGGGGACAGCTTCCCCCCAGCCATTTTATACATCCATTTGCTCAATTATGGCTTCCACTTCTTTTTGCTCTTCCATCACTTAACTTTGCAGGCTATAATATAAGCACATATCATCCTATATGCTGACACAACTATATGCCTCCTGCCTCCTCAATTTTTCTTAAATGACATCTCTGCCTCAGTTTCTGACCATGTTAACATGGCACATATTTGGCATCTGCAAGACTCGTTCCTCTAGGCACTTGAGCCCTGCAGCTCATTAAAGTAACTTAAACAGCTTCTTCAAAAGCAAATGAATAGCTTGTTCACCCAAAGGCACATAAAAGCCCCAAATAGGGTTAAAACAATAAATGGCTACCCACCTGGGATTTACACCTTCCTTTTTCCTTACAAATTTGGGTATGTGCCATTCAGCCAAAGCACACACTTCTGGGCTGGCAGGAACAGACTGCCCTGCTGCAATTTCTCACAGTGTTTCCGGCTGAGCAGTTGATTCAACCCCCCTCCACACATCCTCTCCGGATAGGGTTTTTTAATGGTTTAGTGTGCTTAGTGCTCCCAGCCTTGGCATTACCTGGCTGGCATCAGGCAGCTAGGCATATCCCAATTAGTAGCCTACCCACTGGTCTCTTAAGGACCCTTTAAGTATTTTCTACCAAGCTAGCTAATCTCTAGCCACTGTTTCAGTTCCTACTTGTTTCCCAACAGCTCTCTATAAAACTGAACCAGTCCATTCACACATCCCAATATGGCTATGCAGTGACTATCTTAATAACTAGGTCACATATTCATAATATTAATACAGATTAACTCTACATTCAGCCTACTTAGTGCTAGACCTGGAGCAGCATTAATAGAGGCTGCATGGAACAACTGCAAAGACCTATATTTTGCCTCTGTGGGGCTACTGTGCAATAATTCCACAATGGCCTATTTTCCCTGCTCTAGGTCACCTCCCACTGCTGCCTATAGTCTGTTTGCTGGAAGGCCAGAAGGCCTATGGTGG